GGCCCTTCCAGGAACTCGAACGCTCGCATACCCGCATTGTCTCGAAAAACTAGAAAATTGTATTTTCTTGCCCTAAACATCGTTTTTTTACAAAAATTACCCCCGTGTCATGGCCAAAGGCCTTGTGTTTTTATCGTTGGCTCGTTTGCCATTGAACCGGGTCTAATAGTAATCAAAGCATGATCGTCCATTTTTGGGCAAAAATCAACCTCGGCTCACAGTCGAGGCCGATGAGTCTCCGTGGTTGTCACTTTGACTATAATGTAGGTCTCACAAATCTCAAACCGGGAATTATAGTTTCTCTATAGATTGTTTCATGCTCGATCACACCGTCTCTTCTAGGAACTCGAAAGTTCGCATGCTCACATTGTCTCGAAAAACTATAAAATTGTATTTTCTCGGCCTAAACATCGTTTTTTGAAAAAATACCCCTGTGTCATGGCCAAAGGTCTTGAGTTTTTATCATTGGCTCATTTGCTAACGAACTAGGTCTAATAGTACTCAAAACCCGATTGTCCATTTTTGGGCGAAAATCAACCTTAGCTTACGGTCGAGGCCAATGAGTCTCTATGGTTGTCACTTTGACTATAATGACTATAATGTAGGTCCCACAAACCTCAAACCAGGAATTATAGTTTCTCTATAGATTGTTTCACGCTCGTTCACACCGACCCTTCCGAGAACTCGAAAGCTAGCATGGTTGCATTGTCTCAAAAAACTAGAAAATTATATTTTCTCGGCCTAAACATCGTTTTTTTCAAAAAATACCCGCAGTGTCATGGCCACAGTGCCTTGAGTTTTTATCATTGGCTTATTTGCTAACGAACCGGGTCTAATAGTACTCAAAACGTGATTGTATATTTTTTGGGCGAAAACCAACCTTAGCTTACGAGTCGAGGCCAATGAGTCTCTATGGTTGTCACTTTGACTATAATGACTATAATGTAGGTCCCACAAACCTCAAACCGGGAATTATAGTTTCTCTATTGATTGTTTCACGCTCGTTCATACCGGCCCTTCTAGGAAGTCGAAAGCTCGCATGCCCGCATTGTCTCGAAAAACTAGAAAATTATATTTTCTCGGCCTAAACATCATTTTTTTGAAAAAATACCCCCGTGTCATGGCCAAAGGCCTTGAGTTGTTATCATTGGCTCATTTGCTAACGAACTCGGGTCTAATAGTAGTAAAAACTCGATTGTCCATTTTTGGGCGAAAATTAACCTTAGCTTACGAGTCGAGGCCAATGAGTCTCTATGGTTGGCACTTTGAATATAATGACTATAATGTAGGTCCCACAAACCTCAAACCGGGAATTATAGTTTCTCTATAGATTGTTTCACGCTCGTTCACAACGACCCTTCCAGGAACTCGAAAGCTAGCATGGTTGCATTGTCTCAAAAAACTAGAAAATTATATTTTCTCGGCCTAAACATCGTTTTTTTCAAAAAATACCCGCGTGTCATGGCCACGAGCCTTGAGTTTTTATCATTGGCTTATTTGCTAACGAACCGGGTCTAATAGTACTCAAAACGTGATTGTATATTTTTTTGGGCGAAAACCAACCTTAGCTTACGAGTCGAGGCCAATGAGTCTCTATGGTTGTCACTTTGACTATAATGACTATAATGTAGGTCCCACAAACCTCAAACCAGGAATTATAGTTTCTCTATTGATTGTTTCACGCTCGTTCATACCGGCCCTTCTAGGAAGTCGAAAGCTCGCATGCCCGCATTGTCTCGAAAAACTAGAAAATTATATTTTCTCGGCCTAAACATCATTTTTTTGAAAAAATACCCCTGTGTCATGGCCAAAGGCCTTGAGTTGTTATCATTGGCTCATTTGCTAACGAACTCGGGTCTAATAGTAGTAAAAACCCGATTGTCCATTTTTGGGCGAAAATTAACATTAGCTTACAGTCGAGGCCAATGAGTCTCCGTGGTTGGCACTTTGAATATAATGACTATAATGTAGGTCCCACAAACCTCAAACCAGGAATTATAGTTTCTCTATAGATTGTTTCACGCTCGTTCACACCGGCCCTTCCGAGAACTCGAAAGTTCGCATGCCCGCATTGTCTCGAAAAACTAAAAACATGTATTTTCTTGGCCTAAACATCATTTTTTTGCAAAAATTACCCCCGTGTCATGGCCAAAGGACTTGAGTTTTTATCGTTGGCTTGTTTGCCATCGAACCGGGTCTAATAGTACTCAAAACTTGGTCGTCCATTTTTGGGCAAAAATCAACCTCGGCTCACGGTCGAGGCCGATGAGTCTCTGTGGTTGTCACTTTGACTATAATGTAGGTCTCACAAATCTCAAACCGGGAATTATAGTTTCTCTATAGATTGTTTCATGCTCGTTCACACCGACCCTTCCAGGAACTCGAACGCTCGCATACCCGCATTGTCTCGAAAAACTAGAAAATTGTATTTTTTTGCCCTAGACATCGTTTTTTAAAACAATTACCCCCGTGTCATGCCCAAAGGCCTTGTGTTTTTATCGTTGGCTCGTTTGCCATTGAACTGGGTCTAATAGTAATCAAAATATGATCGTCCATTTTTGGGAAAAAATCAACCTCGGCACACGGTCGAGGCCGATGAGTCTCCGTGGTTGTCACTTTGACTATAATGTAGGTCTCACAAATCTCAAACCAGGAATTATAGTTTCTCTATAGATTGTTTCATGCTCGATCACACCGGCTCTTCTAGGAACTCGAAAGCTCGCATGCTCACATTGTCTCGAAAAAGTATAAAATTGTATTTTCTCGGCCTAAACATCGTTCTTTGAAAAAATACCCTCGGGTCATGGTCAAACGGCTTGAGTTTTTATCGTTGGCTCGTTTGCCATCGAACTAGGTCTAATAGGACTCAAAACTTGGTCGTCCATTTTTGGGAAAAAATCAACCTCGGCTCACGGTCGAGGCCGTTGAGTCTCCGTGGTTGTCATTTTGACTATAATGTAGGTCTCACAAACCTCAAACTAGGAATTATAGTTTCTCTATTGATTGTTTCACGCTCGTTCATACCGGCCCTTCCCGGAGGTCGAAAGCTCGCATGCCCGCATTGTCTTGAAAAACTAGAAAATTGTATTTTCTTACCCTAAACATCGTTTTTTTACAAAAATTACCCCTAGGTCATGGTCAAAGGGCTTGACTTTTTATCGTTGGCTCATTTTCTATCGAACTAGGTCTAATAGTAATCAAAACTTGATCGTCCATTTTTGGGAAAAACTCAACCTCGACTCACAATCGAGGCCGATGAGTCTCTGTGGTTGTCACTTTGACTATAATGTAGGTCTCACAAACCTCAAACCAGGAATTATAGTTTCTCTATAGATTGTTTCATGCTCGATCACACCGGCTCTTCCGGGAACTCGAAAGCTCGCATGCCCACATTGTCTCGAAAAACTATAAAATTGTATTTTCTCGGCCTAAACATCGTTTTTTGAAAAAATACCCCTAGGTCATGGCCAAAGGCCTTGAGTTTTTATCATTGGCTCATTTGCTAACGAACTAGGTCTAATAGTACTCAAAACCCGATTGTCCATTTTTGGACGAAAATCAACCTTAGCTTACGATCGAGGCCAATGAGTCTCTATGGTTGTCACTTTGACTATAATGACTATAATGTAGGTCCCACAAACCTCAAACCGGGAATTATAGTTTCTCTATAGATTGTTTCACGCTCGTTCACACAGGCCCTTCCAGGAACTCGAAACCTCGCATGCCCGCATTGTCTCGAAAACTAGAAAACCGTATTTTGTTGGCCTAAACATCGTTTTTTTATCAAAATTACCCCCGTGTCATGGCCAAAGGCCTTGAGTTTTTATCGTTGGCTCGTTTCCCATCGAACCGGGTGTAATAGTACTCAAAGCTTGGTCGTCCATTTTTGGGCAAAAATCAACCTCGGCTCACGGTCGAGGCCGATGAGTCTCCGTGGTTGTCACTTTTACTATAATGTAGGTCCCACAAACCTCAAACCGGGAATTATAGTTTCTCTATAGATTGTTTTACGCTCTTTCACACCGACCCTTCTAGGAACTCGAAAGCTCGCATTCCCATATTGTCTCGAAAAACTAAAAAGCCGTATTTTGTTGGCCTAAACATCATTTTTTTACAAAAAATACCCCCAAGTCATGGTCAAAGAGCTTGAGTTTTTATCGTTGGCACGTTTTCCATCGAAGTAGGTCTAATAGTACTCAAAACTTGGTCGTCCATTTTTGGGTAAAAATCAACCTCGGCTCACGGTCGAGGCCGATGAGTCTCCGTGGTTGTCACTTTAACTATAATGTAGGTCCCACAAACCTCGGACCGGGAATTATAGTTTTTCTATAGATTGTTTCACGCTCGTTCATATTTGCCCTTCCAGGAACTCGAAAGCTCGCATGCCCACATTGTCTCGAAAAACTAGAAAATTGTATTTTCTCGGCCTAAACATCGTTTTTTTGAAAAAATTACCCCGTGTCATGGCCAAACGCATTAAGTTTTTATCGTTGGCTCATTTGCTAACGAACTCGGGTCTAATAGTACTCAAAACCCGATTGTCCATTTTTGGGCGAAAATCAACCTTAGCTTACGAGTCGAGGCTAATGAGTCTCCGTGGTTGTCACTTTTACTATAATGTAGGTCCCACAAAGCTCAAACCGAAATTATAGTTTCTCTATAGATTGCTTCACGCTCGTTCACACCGGCCCTTCCGAGAACTCGAAAGCTCGCATGCTTGCATTGTCTCGAAAAACTAGAAAACCGTATTTTTTGGCCTAAACATCGTTTTTTTTGCAAAAATTACCCCCGGGTGATGGGCAAAGGCCTTGAGTTTTTATCGTTGGCTCATTTGCCATCGAACTAGGTCTAATAGTACTCAAAACTTGGTCGTCCATTTTTGGGAAAAAATCAACCTCGGCTCACGGTAGAGGCCGTTGAGTCTCTATGGTTGTCACTTTGACTATAATGTAGGTCCCACAAACCTCAAACCGGGAATTATATTTTCTCTATTGATTGTTTCACTCTTGTTCATACCGGCCCTTCCAGAAGTCGAAAGCTCGCATGCCCGCATTGTCTTGAAAAACTAGAAAACCGTATTTTGTTGGCCTAAACATCATTTTTTTACAAAAATTACCCCAAGGTCATGGTCAAAGGGCTTGAGTTTTTATCGTTGGCTCGTTTTCCATCGAAGTAGGTCTAATAGTACTCAAAACTTGGTCGTCCATTTTTGGGTAAAAATCAACCTCGGCTCACGGTCGAGGCCGATGAGTCTCGGTGGTTGTCACTTTGACTATAATATAGGTCCCACAAACCTCGGACCGGGAATTATAGTTTCTCTATAGATTGTTTCACGTTCGTTCACATTGGCCCTACCGGGAACTCAAAAGCTCGCATGCCCACATTGTCTCGAAAAACTAGAAAATTATATTTTCTCGGCCTAAACATCATTTTTTTGAAAAAATACCCCCGAGTCATGGCCAAAGGCCTTGAGTTTTTATCGTTGGTTCATTTGCTAACGAACCGGGTCTAATAGTACTCAAAATCCGATTGTCCATTTTTGGGCGAAAATCAACCTTAGCTTACGAGTCGAGGCCAATGAGTCTCCGTGGTTGTCACTTTGACTATAATGTAGGTCCCACAAACCTTAAACCGGGAATTATAGTTTCTCTATAGATTGTTTCACGCTTGTTCACATCGGCCCTTCTAGGAACTCGAAATCTCGCATGCCCACATTGTCTCGAAAAACTAGAAAACTCGTATTTTCTTGGCGTAAACATCGTTTTTTTACAAAAATTACCCCTAGGTCATGGCCAAAGGCCTTGAGTTTTTATCGTTGGCTCGTTTGCCATCGAACTCGGGTCTAATAGTACTCAACTATCCACCGTAAGCCTTTCCTCGTTTGAACCTCGCCCTTAACTTTAATTTAAGGCTATGCCATCCTAAGGTGCTGCTAAATGGAAGGATCTTATCAACGTCCATGAATGATAAATCATAGATCGAACCGCCGAATCGAAAAAATTGGGTGCTTGGAAGAGCCCTCCCCGTCCGAAGAGAAGAGATCCCTACTCTCGCTTTGTTAATTGGCCTTTTGTGCTCGTTATGATCTCTCTTCGTCTTTGACATCGTCCGTCCTATTCATATATCAAGATCGGGGGATCAATAATCCGAGTACTAATGTTCAATCCTTGTCTCTTTTCGTATGTGCCAGCTTTCTTGAAGGGCTAAGCTTCACATGTAGAAAGCGTCACAATCGGTTCTTTCTTGGATCGATTGTCCATTTTTGGGCGAAAATCAACCTTAGCTTACGGTCGAGGCCAATGAGTCTCTATGGTTGTCACTTTGACTATAATGTAGGTCACAAAAACCTCAAACCAGGAATTATAGTTTCTCTATAGATTGTTTCATGCTCGTTCACATTGGCCCTACCGGGAACTCGAAAGCTCGCATGCCCACATTGTCTCGAAAAACTAGAAAATTGTATTTTCTTGACCTAAATATCGTTTTTTTGAAAAAATACCCCCGAGTCATGGCCAAAGGCCTTGAGTTTTTATCGTTAGCTCATTTGCTAACGAACCGGGTCTAATAGTACTCAAAACCCGATTGTCCATTTTTGGGCGAAAATCAACCTTAGCTTACAGGTCGAGGCTAATGAGTCTCCGTGGTTGTCACTATTACTATAATATAGGTCCCACAAACCTCAAACCGGGAATTATAGTTTCTCTATAGATTGTTTCATGCTCGTTCACACCGACCCTTCCAGGAACTCAAAAGCTCGCATGGTTGCATTGTCTCGAAAAACTAGAAAATTGTATTTTTTTGACCTAAACATCGTTTTTTTTGCAAAAATTACCCCCGAGTGATGGCCAAAGGCCTTGAGTTTTTATCGTTGGCTCGTTTGCCATCGAACTCGGGTCTAATAGTACTCAACACCCGATTGTCCATTTTTGGGTAAAAATCAACCTCGGCTCATAGTCGAGGCCGATGAGTCTCCGTGGTTGTCACCTTGACTATAATGTAGGTCCCACAAACCTCGGACCGGGAATTATAGTTTCTCTATAGATTTTTTCACGCTCGTTCACATTGGCCCTTCCAGAAGTCGAAAGCTCGCATGCCCGCATTGTCTCGAAAAACTAGAAAATTTTATTTTCTCGGCCTAAACATCGTTTTTTTGAAAAAATGCCGCCGGGTCATGGCCAAAGGCCTTGAGTTTTTATCGTTGGCTCATTTGCTAACGAACTCGGGTCTAATAGTACTCAAAATCCGATTGTCCATTTTTGGGCGAAAATCAACCTTAGCTTACGATCGAGGCCAATAAGTCTTTGTGGTTGTCACTTTGAGTATAATGTAGGTCCCACAAACCTCAAACCGGGAATTATGATTTCTCTATAGATTGTTTCACGCTCGTTCACATTGGCCCTTCCGAGAACTCGAAAGCTCGCATGCCCACATTGTCTCGAAAAACTAGAAAATTGTATTTTCTCGACCTAAACATCGTTTTTTTTGAAAAAATACCCTCGGGTCATGGTCAAACGAGCTTGAGTTTTTATCGTTGGCTCGTTTGCCATCGAACTAGGTCCAATAGTACTCAAAACTTGGCCGTCCATTTTTGGGAAAAAATCAACCTCGGCTCATAGTCGAGGCCGTTGAGTCTCCGTGATTGTCACTTTGACTATAATGTGGGTCTCACAAATCTCAAACTAGGAATTATAGTTTCTCTATTGATTATTTCACGCTCGTTCATACCGGCCCTTCCCGGAAGTCGAAAGCTCGTATGCCCGCATTGTCTCGAAAAACTAGAAAACTCGTATTTTCTTGGCCTAAACATCGTTTTTTTTACAAAAATTACCCCTAGGTCATGATCAAAGGGCTTGAGTTTTTATCGTTGGCTCGTTTTCTATCGAACTAGGTCCAATAGTAATCAAAACTTGATCGTCCATTTTTGGGAAAAAATCAACCTCGGCTCACGGTCGAGGCCGATGAGTCTCCGTGGTTGTCACTTTGACTATAATGTAGGTCTCACAAACCTCAAACCGGGAATTATAGTTTCTCTATAGATTGTTTCATGCTCGATCACACCGGCTCTTCCGGGAACTCGAAAGCTCGCATGCCCACATTGTCTCGAAAAACTATAAAATTGTATTTTCTCGGCCTAAACATCGTTTTTTGAAAAAATACCCCTAGGTCATGGCCAAAGGCCTTGAGTTTTTATCATTGGCTCATTTGCTAACGAACTAGGTCTAATAGTACTCAAAACCCGATTGTCCATTTTTGGGCGAAAATCAACCTTAGCTTACGATTGAGGCCAATGAGTCTCTATGGTTGTCACTTTGACTATAATGACTATAATGTAGGTCCCACAAACCTCAAACCGGGAATTATAGTTTCTCTATAAATTGTTTCACGCTCGTTCACACAGGCCCTTCCAGGAACTCGAAACCTCGCATGCCCGTATTGTCTCGAAAACTAGAAAACTCGTATTTTTTGGCCTAAACATCGTTTTTTTATCAAAATTACCCCCGTGTCATGGCCTAAGGCCTTGAGTTTTTATCGTTGGCTCGTTTCCCATCGAACTCGGGTCTAATAGTACTCAAAGCTTGGTCGTCCATTTTTGGATAAAATTCAACTTCGACTCACGGTCGAGGCCGATGAGTTTACGTGGTTGTCACTTTTACTACAATGTAGGTCCCACAATCCTCAAACCGGGAATTATAGTTTCTCTATAGATTGTTTTACGCTCTTTCACACCAACCCTTCTAGGAACTCGAAAGCTCGCATGCCCATATTGTCTCGAAAAACTAGAAAACTCGTATTTTCTTGGCCTAAACATCGTTTTTTTTTACAAAAATTGCCCCCGGGTCATGGCCAAAGGCCTTGAGTTTTTATCGTTGGCTCGTTTGCCATCGAACTAGGTCTAATAGTACTCAAAACCTAATTGTCCATTTTTGGGCGAAAATCAACCTTAGCTTACCGTCGAGGCCAATGAGTCTCTATGGTTGTCACTTTGACTATAATGTAGGTCGCACAAACCTCAAACTAGGAATTATAGTTTCTCTATAGATTGTTTCATGCTCGTTCACATTGGCAATTCCGGGAACTCGAAAGCTCGCATGCCCACATTGTCTAAAAAAACTAAAAAATTGTATTTTCTCGGCCTAAACATCATTTTTCTAAAAAAATTACCCCGAGTCATGGCCAAAGGCATTGAGTTTTTATCGTTGGCTCATTTGCTAACGAACCGGGTCTAATAGTACTCAAAACTTGATTGTCCATTTTTGGACGAAAATCAACCTTAGCTTACGGTCGAGGCTAATGAGTCTCCGTGATTGTCACTTTTACTATAATGTAGGTCCCACAAACCTCAAACCGGAAATTATAGTTTCTCTATAGATTGTTTCACGCTCGTTCACATCGGTCCTTCCGAGAACTCGAAAGCTCGCACGGTTGCATTGTCTCGAAAAACTAGAAAACTCGTATTTTTTTGGCCTAAACATCTTTTTTTGCAAAAATTACCCCCGAGTGATGGCCAAAGTCCTTGAGTTTTTATCGTTGGCTCGTTTGCCATCGAACTAGGTCTAATAGTACTCAAAACTTAGTCGTTCATTTTAGGTAAAAATCAACCTCGGCTCACGAGTCGAGGCCGTTGAGTCTCCGTGGTTGTCACTTTGACTATAATGTAGGTCCCACAAACCTCAAACCGGGAATTATATTTTCTCTATTATTGTTTCACTCTTGTTCATATCGGCCCTTCCAGAAGTCGAAAGCTCGCATGCCCGCATTGTCTCGAAAAACTAGAAAACCGTATTTTCTTGGCCTAAACATCATTTTTTTACAAAAATTACCCCTGTGTCATGGTCATAGAGCTTGAGTTTTTATCGTTGGCTCGTTTTCCATCGAAGTAGGTCTAATAGTACTCAAAACTTGGTCGTCCATTTTTGGGTAAAAATCAACCTCGGCTCACGGTCGAGGCCGATGAGTCTCCGTGGTTGTCACTTTGACTATAATGTAGGTCCCACAAACCTCGGACTAGGAATTATAGTTTCTCTATAGATTGTTTCATGCTCGTTCACATTGGCCCTTCCAGGAACTCGAAAGCTCGCATGCCCACATTGTCTCGAAAAACTAGAAAATTGTATTTTCTCGGCCTAAACATCCTTTTTTTGAAAAAATTACCCCGTGTCATGACCAAAGGCATTAAGTTTTTATTGTTGGCTCATTTGCTAACGAACTCGGGTCTAATAGTACTCAAAACCCGATTGTCCATTTTTGGGAGAAAATCAACCTTAGCTTACGGTCGAGGCTAATGAGTCTCCGTGGTTGTCACTTTTACTATAATGTAGGTCCCACAAAGCTCAAACCGGAAATTATAGTTTCTCTATAGATTGTTTCACGCTCGTTCACACCGTCCCTTCCGGGAACTCGGAAGCTCTCATGCTTGCATTGTCTCGAAAAACTAGAAAATTGTATTTTCTCGGCCTAAACATCGTTTTTTTGCAAAAATTACCCCTGTGTGATGGCCAAAGGCCTTGTGTTTTTATCGTTGGCTCGTTTGCCATTGAACTAGGTCTTATAGTACTCAAAACTTGGTCGTCCATTTTTGGGAAAAAATCAACCTCGACTCACGGTCGAGGCCGTTGAGTCTCTCGTGGTTGTCACTTTGACTATAATGTAGGTCCCACAAACCTCAAACCGAGAATTATATTTTCTCTATTGATTGTTTCACTCTCTTCATACCGGCCCTTCCAGAAGTCGAAAGCTCGCATGCCCGCATTGTCTTGAAAAGCTAGAAAACCGTATTTTCTTGGCCTAAACATCATTTTTTTACAAAAATTACCCCAAGGTCATGGTCAAAGGGCTTGAGTTTTTATCGTTGGCTCATTTTCCATCGAAGTAGGTCTAATAGTACTCAAAACTTGGTCGTCCATTTTTGGGTAAAAATCAACCTCGGCTCACGGTCGAGGCCGATGAGTCTCTGTGGTTGTCACTTTGACTATAATATAGGTCCCACAAACCTCGGACCGGGAATTATAGTTTCTCTATAGATTGTTTCACGTTCGTTCACATTGGCCCTTCCGAAACTCGAAAGCTCGCATGCCCACATTGTCTCGAAAAACTAGAAAATTGTATTTTCTCGGCCTAAACTTCGTTTTTTTGAAAAAATACCCCAGTGTCATGGCCAAAGGCCTTGAGTTTTTATCGTTGGCTTATTTGCTAACGAACTCGGGTCTAATAGTACTCAAAATCCGATTGTCCATTTTTGGGCGAAAATCAACCTTAGCTTATAGTCGAGGCCAATGAGTCTCTATGGTTGTCACTTTGACTATAATGTAGGTCCCACAAACCTTAAACCGGGAATTATAGTTTCTCTATAGATTGTTTCACGCTTGTTCACATCGGCCCTTCTAGGAACTCGAAATCTCACATGCCCACATTGTCTCGAAAAACTAGATAACCGTATTTTCTTGGCCTAAACATCGTTTTTTTACAAAAATTACCCCTAGGTCATGGCCAAGGGCCTTGAGTTTTTATCGTTGGCTCGTTTGCCATCGAACCGGGTCTAATAGTACTCAACACTCGATTGTCCATTTTTGGGCGAAAATCAACATTAGCTTACGGTCGAGGCCAATGAGTCTCTATGGTTGTCACTTTGACTATTATGTAGGTCACACAAACCTCAAACCGGGAATTATAGTTTCTCTATAGATTGTTTCATACTCGTTCACTTTGGCCCTACCGAGAACTCGAAAGCTCGCATGCCCACATTGTCTCGAAAAACTAGAAAATTGTATTTTCCCGACCTAAATATCGTTTTTTTGAAAAAATACCCCCGAGTCATGGCCAAAGCCCTTGAGTTTTTATCGTTGGCTCATTTGCTAACGAACCGGGTCTAATAGTACTCAAAACTCGATTGTCCATTTTTAGGTGAAAATCAATCTTAGCTTACG